CAATATTAAAGAACTGTTCTTGTTAATTTGATGAAAACATTTTAAATTTCCAGTGCACTCACATCAGAATAACTTATAGATTTGTTGTTAGAATAATCGATTAATCGAAAAAATAATCATTAGAATAATCGATTAGAAAATAATTGTTTGGTACAGCACAAATTTTTAGTTTTTGTAACTTTTTAAAATTATGTCATTTTAAAGATCTTCGCTATAAAAGTACATTAAAATGTTTTCTATTAAAAATCGTTGAAATCTTCAGCATGTGTTTGTCTTTAACTACCGTACTTTTAGCTACTGTCCTTCTACTTTTGGATTTTAGCTACTGTGCTGCCGCAGTTAGCTTTAACTTTCATTTTGCTGCTTTTAGCTGTTAGTTGCCGTCTTGTGATATTTGTCCACTGTGTCTACTTCAAATTACAGTTTACCTGCTTTTAGCTATTGTTCTACTTTTGGCTTTTAGCTGCCATTTCTCTGATTATAATGTTTAGCTTCAGTTTTGCTACTTTTAGCTTTCATTTAACTAATTTTAGTTTTTTAGGCACTGTTTTGCTAATTTAATCTTTTAGGCCACAGTTACGCACATTTTATTTTTTAGCCCTAGTTTTGCTATTTAAAAAAGCATTCATGCTGCATTTTAGTAGAAAATGTGGTTTCTCTGGGGTTTCCTTTTTATACCTCTTGCTTTTAGCTACTGTCTTGCAAATATTAGGTTTTAGTTAGTTTACTGACTTTTGCTTTTAGCTGCTGTTTAGCTAATTTTACTTTCAGCTTCTGTTCTTGTTGTAGCTCAGTTTAGTTTTGGTTCTACTGTTTTTATTTCTGTTCCACTTGGTAGAACTAATATGTTTTAGCTGCAGCATTCACATTTCTAGTTCAGCTTATGCTTTGAAGCAGCAGTGAAATATCCTTGTTCTGGCTGTTCAAACAAAACCAAATTATCTTCTTTGTCAACATAGAAACAGCTTTTCCATTTCCCTCTTCGCAGTTTTTGCTGGTTTTCCAATTCAAAACCTGCTTCTTGAAGCTTTTGAAGCTGAACCTGAGGAGGTGTTTGATGATGTAATTTAATCTTCTGCAGAAAAGCGTTTTCTGTCTTGGTACTAAAGGAGACTCTTTTCCTTCCTCTTCAGGTGCCATCCTGGGACGCTCGGAGACGCAGGAATGCGTTTTCTACAACTCGAGCTGGGAGAAGGACATGATCAACCGCAGCAACATTGAACCCTGCTACGACGAGAAGAACAAGCGGCGGCACTGCTTCGCCTCCTGGAAGAACGTCTCGGGCACGATTGAGATCGTCAGGCAGGGCTGCTGGCTGGATGACGTCAATTGCTACGACAGGTACGCAGGAAGTCAGATTAAATCAAAGAAAATGACAAACAATGCCCAGAGGAGAGTCTTTCAGATTAAACAGGTCAAGTAGTTTATTTAAGAATAAAAAAATACGTTTTCATTCAGAGGAAAAGTAATAATGTTATAAACATGCAGAAATTTGATCACTCCGATATTTTTTTTTCCTAAATTAATTCTTCTCTCTGTGCCAGAAGGTAAAACCCAGAAGACAGATTTTATTTTCGTCTTTGTCTTAGCAAGTGTGTATGTACTTGGGTTTTGTTTCTTTTTTTACAACCTTTTCTGGTACACACACCTACCTTGTCAGGACCAGTAGAGAACAGTCCTAATGTGGGGTATGCCGTTTTGAGGTTAGGGATTAGTTTTAGGACTAAGGTATGAATTGAGTTTAGGTTAGGTTTAAGATAATTGTCAGGTTTAGGTTACAGAAATGAATGAAAGTCAGTACATTGTCCTAATAAAGATAGAAATGCAAACGTGTGTGTAAAGCTTTCATGTATGTAAAATATCTTGTGAAACATTTGACGAATTTTAATTAAACGTTCATGTCTAAAACTAATTGAAGGTACTCACTGCAAAGTCATAAAGTCCAGACCAAAAAATTTAAAAGTGATTAACAAATCTATTTTCAAAATATTTTTCTCATGTTGATAGTTAATTTGTCCTTAATTTAAAAAATTTGGATGCCACATTTTTACTAAATACTGTCACATATGTTTGCCTACGGAAACAAGTGAAGTGACTAGAAGTGATAGGTTAAACTTTGCCACCATATTTATTTACCTACACAAACTACAGCGTATTATAGGTCAGTCGTGTGATTTGTTTATACTAAGTGCCTTCCCATGTTTCAGAATTGACATGACGCAACCTGTCAATCAGTTTGTCAGTAACTGACCAATCGGGGTTGCATTTTGTCCCAAAGTGAACCACCCCTTACCTGGAGGAGCAGAACCCCCTTTACCTCCGACAATCCAGTTCATCATTGCGGACGCGTTGTGGTCATAAAGATTTGTTGAAAAATAATCATAAAACATGGTTAAACTTTGTCAGTGAGGAACATGCAACTCCGACACGCGTTACCCAGAGTGTTTAGTGGGCGGAATAGAGTTTATTCCATTTCCTAAACCCAAACGGAGTCTGGAAAAATGTAAACGATGGATAAAGGCCTGCATCTGAATACAACAGTGATTGATGGTAACTACCACGTGTTCGTTTGTATGAAGGTAACTGCAAATCTCATATTTTTGTCATAAAAACTTTATAAACTTAATGGTTGAATCCAAGATTAGTGCATAAAGGTAGTTGTGCTTGAGTTTGTGTGTTTGGTTTGTAGGAATACAGTATGTTGTTTTTAAAGGGAACTTCGATTAGTTGTAACATTAGACTTTATTTGATAAACATATTTTAACTGTAAAATAAAGACTGTAAAAATACTGTAGGCTGTTTAGTTTTGTAAATTAAAAAAAAAATAGCACGGACGGAGCCATTTTATTTACACACAAAGCATTCTGGGTAAATGATGATGTGGATAGGTCCTCGGTGCGAGGCTGCTAGCGAACTGAAAATATGGATGGAGGACCTCAGTTTAGCTTGTTTGTCGCGCTAGCGCCAAGCTAATACATATAAGGC